GAGCTGCAAGTTCAGATTTCCTTCCCTTGCTGTATTAGGGAAAAAAAGCTGCTGCGCTGTCCGTGCAGCCTCTTTATCCACCCAGAGCAGACTGGCGGAAGCTTGCAGGGAAGCAAAGTTTACTGAAAAACTCCGTTTGTTTTTAAAGAGGCTTAGGGGGTTCCAAATCACAGAGCCAACTGTTCTATTAGCGAGGGGCTTTTCTCAACAAAGTAGGAAGTTTAGAGTTTGATATGATCTGCTCTCAGTCTTTCCTGATGGCTAAAGACTTAACATTTGCTCTGTGAGCCTTTTGATGGTGGCTGACCTGAGCCAGTCCTGATTTTGGTGTGGATGTTTTTCTGCTTAACTTCCTGGGTCTTTACAGCAGAGGCCAGCACTTTTCAGGAGCTGCTTTACTATTCTTCATACAGCATTATGCAATACAAAGGTATTATGTACCCTATTTCATCAGAAACCACCCTGGTGGCCCTTCCAACAACAGGCTGCTCAACATCTCTTGTTTAAGCAAGCCCAAAGCACTAAGATTTCCCAAACTTCCAGATGTCAGAAAACCTTTTCCTCAGCCAACACTTAGTCTACATTTTTTTCCCTTCACATCCTGTTGCTCTGGGGGTATCGCTGAATTTCATCCAGAATGATTGGTGCTCCTTGGCACCAAACCCCTGGCTGTGAATACTCTTTTCACCTCCCCGTTGTTGTTCATGTGTGTTAGTCATCCCATAGACTGCTCTTTACCACTTTTGTGTTCTACTTTCATAGTAATGTTGTTGCTCCATGGGAATGGGGCAACTCTTTGGAAAGCCAACCCCAGAGCAAAGCAAACCAGAGCTGACTGCCCCAGAACTGCATGGAGGGAGGCGACTGCTGCCCATCGTTCCAGCTGTTACCCCTGAGCTGTTGTCAGGGCTTCCCTTTCATCTGCAGAGACCTCCTGTTCCCCTGGGGCTGGAGTGGACATGATCCCTCCCAGCTGTGACCTCCATGGAGAAGAGCCTGGAGGAACAGAGCGTAGGTGGCAAGAGAAGAGCAGAAATGGCAGTTAAAAAGAAAAGGGAGGCAACAATAGAGAGGAAATGGGAATGAGAGAGGGAGGCAAAGAATGAAAGAAGGAAGGAGAAAAGGGCCTCACTTTTGGAGCAGAAAATCTTGATGAAAAGTGAGTAGAATTTGAAGAAAATATAGAAAGTAGATACTACAAAATGTGTGCCAAGGCAATAGAAAATAAGGACAAAGATGGGAAGGAATAGGGGAAAGCAGCAGCAGCATTTTGACTCTAGAATTAATGCTGTGTTGTTTCTAACAACAAAAACACCACGGATACTTTTGATGCTTGTCTGAAGTGAGCACTGAACCCTCTGCTAGTCTGAGTAGTCTTTCCTTGTGGCTGTTAAGCAGACACTTCTGGATTTGATGTGGCCCACCTGGAACTGTGGCCTTGTTTTCAAAGGCAGCTATAGATAGACTATCAGGTACTTAAAAAAGAAAGAAATATCACTGTCAGCCTTATTCTGCATAAAAATAGGACTTAAAAATACTGTCTCTATCTTACATCGCAGCATTCCTTTGATATATAGAGAGGTCTGTCCTGCTGCTGTCTTGGGTTCAATAAAAACTGGAGGAATATAAAGTTAATGATTATTGTGTTTAACCTGGGTTAAACTTACTATATTTTCTTGAATTAGCCATGCAGATTTGTAACAGACAAAAAAGACTGGATTGCCATTCCTCTGTAGTCAGTACATCAAAGCTTTCAAAAATTTGCCTTTTCTTTTATTAAAAAATACATGGAAAGTGTAATCTTTGTAGTAAGAAGATAGGAAGCTGCAGAAAGGTCCATTTTTGATGGCTTTCCTTAGAGTTCACTTCAGTTGTGATTCGTAGGTGATGGTAGTTACCACTGGTAATTTGTGAGGGCAGAGCTCAGAACAGGTAGTCATTCTGATAGTAACCAAAGACGTGCTCGGATATGGTCAGAGCTGGCACAGGTTTCTTCCCAGTGAAAGACTGCCTCTCCTCTCCCAGCCCCTTTTCAGCAAAAGGTCTGGTTTCTTTTTCAAATTTTCCTATGTTTGCAGGTAAAATGGAAAAATGCCAAAATTTCAGAGTGAAAAGGTATGAGGACTTCCAAAAGCAAAGCCAGATTTCTGCAAACACAGCATTCAGAAATATTTCTTCTGTAAAGCAGGTTTGATAACTCAATATGTACCTGGTAGGAGGGAGGAAGTATCTAAATTTTGCTGTCAGATCCCGAGTAGAGAGTAGAGAAATTGTATATGTAGAATCTCTTGAGGACTAAGGGCACTTGTGTGCAGGCGAAGATGGAAGATAAGAGAGAAGATTTTGAAGCAGAGCTCCCAGCTGAGTCCCAGTGGTGTGAAAGTGGCAGTACCTCCTCCCTGGGAGGGATCTGGATTGCATTTTCTGTGTGCTGACCCACAAGCAGTTGCTTCTCTTAGTGGTGCACGTCAGGTGGCTCTTTGGGAGGCTACAGCCACGGTGGCTTTGTCCTTCAGGTCTCACACTGCTTTTAGAGGAGTATTTAGCCATCACTGGGTCTCTGCAATGCAAGAGCCTGTTTTTAGATTTGAGGGTTAGACTCTAGTGTGAATGCAAAGAGTCAGCAGTGGGGCCAGCTACTGTCTCCCAGTCTCACCCATGGGTGACCAGCTGTTTGTTGTAGGGCTTGTGAGGGATGGTTTCCAGGGGTGACTGGTCACTGCAGGTTTGAGAGGGAATAGTGACAACAGCAACTGACAGTGACAACTGGCACCTGAGCGAGCTCAGTCCATGTCCATGTCCATGTCCGAGGAGGTAAGATATGCAGAGCCAGCTGCCCTTCTGATAGAGGAGCTTAGTGATAGGAAATCTTCCGAGGGTATTTGTAGCCCTTGGAAGAAAGAAAGGGTCATCACTGACAGATGGAGAGTTTCTTTAACTCACAGCTGCCTTTAGAAATGCAGTGTGTGCAATTAAACCACTCGGAGCAGAGGCTTTCTAGCTACAGACCGTACTGCGGTCTTGGGTTGGGTGAGGGTTGTTTGGTCCTCAGGTCTGGCTGGGAGTGAGAAGTTTGGTTTCGAGACGTGAGCGGGCTGGAGTTGCCCTCCTAATGGGGAAAAGGCCGTTGCCGTGCAGTCCAACTCAACAGGAGGACTTCGAGATGCTAAGAATCCCTTCTCATAATTTTTGTTGATGCAGGTGGTCTTTTCTAAGTACAAAGTCAAAGAAATTACTGCTTGCCCCTTTCTTCATCTCCCCATCCACGTGTCATATGGTTGGCAGGAACACTGAAACCTCCCCGGCTCCAGTTCCTGCGTGCATGGGGAAGAAGCGGAGGGAAGTGCGATGGAGCCATATGTCCTCCTGCATTTGCACTCTGAAGACAAAGTTATTTGTGAGCCTTGAGCATAAGGGTGGGAGAGCTGCCAAGCCAAAGTTGTTCCCAAGTATCTGTAAACTAAATCTGATTCCTTAAATTAATCCAACTAAGGAACTTTTGCTCTGGCAAAGACGTGTAAATATTACAGTACCTGTCACTTTTGATGCTGCTTTCTGTTTTCATAGCGGCGAGCTGAGAACTTTGAAGTTTGAGATGTTTTGTTTCGCTTTTTAGAGGTTGACCTCAAAGTATCAATCTTTCTGCTCCTTTTGGTATGCAAGAAAATAGTCTTTTCTCTTTGCAGAAAACTTTTTTTAGCAGCAGCTTTGTTTAATGGCCAGAGCTCTCACACAGTGTCAGAGCGTTCAAGGGTACATTGAGATACACATACCAAGATGTGGAGCGTGTTGCCTCTCTGTTGTCTTCAGTGCCTCGGTTTTCCCTTCTCCGTGACAGAACAAGGCATAAATATGTATTTGAAAGGGAAAAGCATTTGCTCAAAAGTGGTTTCTGGATGTTCAGCTCTCTGAATATATAGATAATCGTGCTGGGGTTTTAGTTTACACGTGACTTCACAGTTGTGCACAACACAGCCTGTGCTCTCTGGAATAATAATGAGTGAAAATAACAGTCATTTTGGTATTTATTTATGTATTTTCAAGGTAAGTTGCTGATTCATACAAACATGTGACTTGAGTTTTGCTAGGCAATGCGATGGCCTCTACTGTTTGTGCTAATTCCCCGTTGCTCCATGGAGGAACATGGCACAGAATTTCCTATAGGTGATCTTTGGCTTAAGCTGTTCTAAACTGCAGTTCTCTCCTGCACGGCTAACTTGGGTAATAACTCAATTTTTATTCAAAATGTAACCTGCTTGTAGCTAGAACTCTATGGAGCACTGCAAAGTCAATGCTCAAGGGGAGGTTTACTGGATGGTTGCTCTTATCTGAGTGGTTTGCTTCATTTGCCTTTTCCATGTCTTTTCCAGAACATCAACCACTCCGTTTACCAGGGTCCCTGTGTTTTTAACCAAAGTCCCTAGAGTCTTGCCAGGGTCTCTCCCTGGAAGGCAGTGCTGTGACTCTGGCTTTGCCAGACCAAAGGAGCACTGTGTTTGTGACAGACAGCAGGGCATGGATCAAGGGACATCCCACTGGATCCTGGGATGTACTGCCTGTCTGGCATCTCGGCTAACCTAAATTCACACTGGAATCTGCCACCTGACGGGCTGCTCTAATGGTAGTTTTGTGAGATTATTTATTCCAGTCGCACTTGCTAACTGTACAGGTTAACTCCATGCTCTTGAAAATGCTGCTTAAAGGCAAAATATTAAAGGTTAAGATTCCAGTTGCTTTTTACCTCCCTGGCTAAGTTTTGAGCAGTTACACATTCATAAGTAGGTGTTATGACTACCTGCGAAAAATTGTTTTTTTATATTGTCTTTCCATTTTGAAGTATCTGAAAATTAGACTTTTCATCTGTGAAACCCAGATTCCCAGAGCTTTAATATCAAAGTAAAGCTGACCGCCTAGAAGCAGTTACTCTGGAAAGAGCTGTAATGGTGCAGCTGAGAAGCTAAACTCCTCATCTCCATTTGAGCCTTTTTTTTGTCTCATAGATGAGAGAATCTGTTCACCACCCTTCATGGAGCTGACAAGTGCCTGTGGAGAAGATACTTTGCAGCTAATAGAGAAGAATGGACTGGCATTCCCATTCAGTACGTAAATGGACTTTCTTTGCAGCTTCTAGTACTTCCTGAATATTCTACACACACTGCCAGAAACGTGGTAGCCAACATTGTAGGACTGGATGTTTCATGGCTCATGTGTACAGGAGGTTAGAACCTTCCTGAGGCAAATGACTTGAAGCAATCTGCTGGGAGCATGGAGCAAAATTTCTCTGTATCAGCTTTTATTTAGTCTTCATTTAGCCTTGGTGTTTGTCACTTTAAACACCCTGCTACAATAAACATGATTTCCTGGGAAATGCTAGTAATTCTAACAAAGTTAGCCTCTTGCCATGAACTGGTGCAAGAAGTTTCTCCTGCCATTCGTTGCATTCGTTGTTTTTCTTGAGAAAATTGTTCTCTTGCTGACAGCTCCCTTTCTTCATCACCCTTCACCTTTCCCTGATCCAGGTTCCAAGTATTGTGGATAGAAGTAAGAGAGTAAAAATGACCATAGGCACCAGGCTTCAAGTGCCCAGCCTTGAGCAGCTCTGTGAGCTGTTGGTCCACAATGCGGAGAAGGAAACAGAACTGTTGGGCTGTTTCTACTTTCTTCTCCTCCTCTATGGTTATCTCTGAAAAAATATGTCTTAGTCTGGTCCACCCTTTTTGGTTGCTTGTCCATGGCTAAGACCAAGGAGGAGGAGAAGTGGTTGGTTCCTGCCGTGTCTCAGTTCCGTTGCTTTCAGGAGGACAGTAGTGCTTGGTGGTACCTGCAGCAGCGCCCCAGCCTCAGGGGAAATCACAGGCTTGTGCAAAAGCCCTCAGGCTCCGGCAGGCCTGAGGCAGAGGGCACTATGGTGCTGAGGTGGACCTGCTTGCTGGTGCTTTGCACCTCTGTCCAGTCCTACTAAGGACCTTAGCTACAGGAAGCAGTTGAGAAGGTAGAGCTTGGAGTAAGCCAGATTTTGCAGGGAACGAGGACGCTGTTCAAGCAGAGACTGTCAGCGCTTTCTGGTGTGGTCACCCCTCGGTGTGGTGAACCCCCAGGTCTCACGTGTCGGAAGGAGCAGGTGTGTAAGGATTTTGTGCAGCCTTTTTCACTAATGTGGTGTTTTCTGTTTTCCTTTATCCAGTTTGTAAAACCAGAGTGGCCCACGGAACCAACTCTCACGAGGTGAGTTAAGGAGGTTTTGCAGCATTATTCTCCAGCCCCCCATGGTGGTTTGGTTGGTGCTTTATAGTCCTCTTCATTTTCCCTCCTTCTCCCTTGAGTTTAATAATATCATTATTTTCTTCAGGTTTATCTGAAATTAAGTTAAATACAACTTTAACCTCTTTAATTGGTCTGCTTCTATTAGTTCTGTTTTTCTTGTTTCTAGCAGTATGTAGTCTCCAGTCCTGCTCTATCTTCAAGGCATCTGCTGCTTCTGCCTCTCCTTTGGAGGGAGGTCACATTAAGTGCTATTTGTACCCACCATGCTTCTCTTCCAAACATTTATCTGGTGCTCGTGCTAAATGTTTTTGTGCTGCAGATGAAGCAGAAAGATGAACAAAGGCAGGCTGGCCTCTCACAGACCTCTCCTTGAGGGAAAGGGAATAGCAAATAAAGACAACATTTCCAAGCATGTTCAGTTGTAATAACATGATACAGCTATGGGAAAAGAAAACAGGGCTGCTAAAATTATCTGCTTTGCCTCATCCCAATTGCAAATAAAATGGTTTTGTCTTCCTGAACAGAGTGTGCTCCAGAGCTTAGCTGCCTCTAAATTTAGTCAAGAGGAGCCAAGTCCTGTTTTAATTCTTCTCCACTTGTGCTTCCTGCCTCCGTGCTTACCACATCTCAGTTTTAAGAACCCAGTCCTCACTGCTGTCTGTAATATTGCCTGCCTTCCTTTGGTAGCAAGGCAGTAATCCTTCCAGGTTTCCCAGCTGCTCCTGAAATATGCAGTATGTTGCTGCAGCGTCTCTGAGGAATGAAACCCTGAAGGAGAATGCAAGCCTAAAGGAGCAGAATGCCTGCAGCTAGAATTTGGAGTCACCAACAGATAATTTTTTTCGTATAGGCTTTGGCTTGGATCATTTTCAAGGCATTGCACACAGTCCTGTTAATGTTTGTGGGAGTAGCCACTCTGTTATTATTGCTCTCAGTCACCAGGACACTTGGGACTGGGTTGCTACTGAGTGTAACTGCCCAGTGCGGGGGCAGTTCAGCTTGGACTCGCGTTTCCATAACGAGCCTTTCTTTGCACTTCATTTATGCAGCACAGGCATTCCTAAGCCTCCTGCCAGAATCCCATTTTCTGAACAAGATTTAGATTGAATACACTTGTGGGCTGCACTTTGTCATGGAATTTCATGACTAGAGTCCAGCGTGTCCCCCTAGGAAAAAAAAAATCTTGTCTGATAATTTACACACTTTTGTAGTAGAGTCGCTTTAGAGTTACTCTGTTCTCAGGAATGATTTTAAGGTGTATTTAAGGTCAGAGATGAACTATTCTGTAGCTTCAATTTTATGGCCAGTAAAGCAAGGGAAGTACAGAATAAATATTCTGCTTACCAGACAGTGTGTTTGAAAGATAGGGTATAGGACTAGAGCAACAACAGCAACAAAATCTCTTGCCTGTTTTATTAATGACTCCTTCTGTGTCTTTGGCAAATTGTTTAATTTTCTATAGAGAGATTCCCCACTGCGGAGCTGGCATTGAAACTAATCCAACCTGACCAGAAATTGGCTTTACTTTCTAAGATTCAAAACATTTAGACACTGGCTAACAGGGACAGTTAAAAGTTCAGACATGATTTGGGGTTAGATGCCAACCAGTGCTGACAGAATCTGCATTATCCTGTGTAAGCACAAGTTAGTTAAGCCGAGGTGCTGTGGGTTTTTCTGCAGGGTCCTGCAGCCCTGGAGGTCACATCTGCCCCCTCAGCACTTGAACCCCACTTTGCCAACACCATTTATTGTAGCCTTGAACAAAGATGATGCCTACAAGTGCCTACAAGTAGATTAGAACTTGATAGACCTTCTGGTAAAACTGCTGTGGAATGTGCTGTCATCCATAAGCTCAGGAAACGCATCCAGAATAATTCTTTTTCTAAATATATTGAGCAGAGAGGAATGAAAAGCAAGAGTCTGAGATAAAAGACACTTTTTTTTTTTCAGGCTGAATTCCTTAAGGATGTTGTCGTTAGAAATTCCTGGTGCCAAATGTTATATTTTGCCTTCAAAAAAACCTTGCATCTATAATGAGGAATGCCATTTGGAAATTATGATATAAAATACTGTTCCCATGTTCCTGCCAGACACAGCGGGTCCGTGCTAGATGGCAGAGAGCGAGTGCACCCTGCAAGCAAATTCCTGGAGCTCTATTCATGCATGCTAAAATCCATGAGACATCACAGGGAAGCTGTACAACATAATACCATGGGAATTATAGGGGTTATGTCCACGGGGTTGTCAGGGCAGAGCTTTGCAGACGAGAGGTTTCTCATGGTTCCCAGTAGCCTGGGTCAGTTTTATACAGAAAAGATAAAGCCTCTGGGTTTCCACGCTGATAGAACAGGATGATAAGTACCTGCTCTTCTTATGAAGGAGTGGTTTGTAAGGATTCATTAACAAATGCTTGCAAAGAGGACCTGAGGGATAAGAGCAAAGTGTTGTTTGCTGGTATGATATTATAGATAGTATAAAACCAACAGTCTGCCCTGGAGGAGGAAGAGAATAGTGGTTCCTGCCACCACTGAGAGACAAATGAGGTCTGATGTTGTTGCTGTGAATCATCTTGATGGATGATTCTGCTGGCTACAGTAGGTCTCTTGTACAGGTTATTACCACTCACAAATTCAGTCTGTGCTGACAAATAGATAGCATCTGGTATAATGGAGACAGAGTAAGAATATCAGCTGCGGTAGACACTGACTGCACGCATTGACTTGAACTCAGAAAATGTTGATTTACTGAGTCATTGGGCATGCATGCAGGCAATTATGTGATCTAATGTGGTCTGCCAGGTAAAGAGAAGAACAGAGTAATAGGTAGAGACAAAAATGTGCTCAAACTTCTAACTATAAATCTGTACTCCCTTTATTATTTACCATGGCTGTGGTTTTGCCATAAATACAAAAAGAAAAGTTACCCTAAAGAATGACATAACTTTTTATACTTACTATTTTTACTACAGGAACAAACTAAGATATTACTAAGAGTTCAGCTGTAGCTCCTCAGTGTCTCAATGCACCATCCATCAACTGTGTAGCATGCCAAGTGGATAAGTTCCTTTTTTAAAATCCTCCCAGTGGCCCCGATTTCAGTAGGACGCAGCTGATATCAGAAGGTATGAAACCTGACAGGAAGCAGTTCAGATAGCAGTAAAATTCTTCTGCATCGTGCTGAGGCAGGAATCTAGATAATTTTTTTTTCTGTATGTTGCTGTGGTGTCCCGTGCAGTGGGACCCACAAGAATTCTCTTAATCCCTCTGGACTGGCTTTTGTCCTAAGCAAAAACTTAGGCTCAAGGAGGCTAAGCAAAAAAAAACCTAACAGGGTTAAGGAACAGGTTGTGTTTCAGAACATGGGAGCCTTTCTGGCAGGTGTTGTGCATGCTGTGCTGCATGGTGAGAGCTGGGTAAGGGACACATTAAATGGAGAGTTACCCGTTTTCTGAGCAGGTGCTCTGTGGGGAAAGATACTGTAACCAGTGTGCCCCTACCTATAGGAGGGAGATGAGAAAGCTTAGCTCTGGCAGGAAGAAAATGAGATATTCACTGTGGCAAGTTCTCTGGCCTTGGATGGTCCTTACCCAAGGTGACTGGCCACCAAAATACCCTTCTGTCCCTGTGGGTAACAAGGCATAGGATCACTGAAATAATGGAGAGACATCAGCCTGCAGGTAACAACCACATAGCTTTTTCAGGGCTTTGAGGCTGGAGAACAAATGTGAGTTTTCTTCTTAGTACTTTTAAGGAGTATAAAGTGATTTCATCGGCCCATACCATTGTGGTGCTTGCAGCCAGTTGTGCCCGGGAGCCAGGGCAGCATTTGTGCTGCAGCAGCAGAGCTCCAAGGCACCGTGTTCTGCATAGCTAAATGTGCCTGCAAGGATGATGTGCTAGTGATTCACCCCGCGAGCAACGTGACACGTGCTGAGATACACTGGCTTGTCCAAGTGCTTGTCTGCACCGACCAGCAGCGCTTCCATGCTGTGTGAGGCAGCTCTTGTTCACCACTAAGGCCCTATAAATGATTTCCTTTCTGGCATACACTTTTCCAGTCCCTTCAAGGGGACTATACGTTTCGAATAAGACCAAAAGAAAGAAGAAAACGAGCCAAGGATAACACTAGCCCAGCGTTTTCTAGCAGTGAGCACTGCTACGCTTCAAAAAAGAGTTCTCTGCTGATGAGAGTGAAGCCTTGTAGCTTAGGACATTATAACTGGGCTCAGCCGAACCACTGAAAGGACAGCTGCAGGAAAGAACTTACACTGTTGGTCAATTCAAACAGATCTGTTCTTCATCCTCCTGTTGTCCTCATGCTTTATGTTATACAAATTTTGCCTACTCTGTTTGTCAAATGGTCTGCTCTCTTGTTTTTCTTGGTAAAATCTGCAATTGTGGTAGCTCCCTAACTTAAAGTAGTAAGTGAAATTGCAACAGCTAAAGAGAAAATACTGACACAAGTGGTTTTGATTGGAAGTAAAAGCTACGCTGCCAGTGGTGTTCAGAGGGTTCAAAAGATGATGAAATTGGCTTAGCTGCTCAGCAGAAATTTGCAATTGGATTTGGAGAATATATACATATATATATATGTGTGTGTGTATGTGTGTATATATATTCATCATGCCCCTTATATATATATTCGTATATATTCATTCATGCCCCTTACTGCTGGTGAGGCGGTTGATAAATACGAAATAAGTGACAGACTTGGGCCAAACTTTGTGTGTTTTCAGATGGCAATCATCTTCAACCAGGAGGGCCTGAAGGCTGTCCGCCCGCCCTGCGTCATTCAGAGCTTCATCAATCACAACGCTGTGCTGTACAAAGTGTTCGTGGTCGGGGAATCCTACACAGTGGTGAAGAGGCCATCCTTGAAGAACTTCTCTGCTGGCATCTCAGGTACGTTGTGCCCGATTAGAAGGAGATGTGAGTTCTTGGAGCCCTGCCTGCAAACAGCCCAAATGAAAAATAGCTTTGGAAAGGCGGCCGAAGGAAAGGCATCTGGTTTTTCCATACTGTGTTTCCTCTTCTGTATTATTTCATTAGGAAGGGAGATACCTCATCTGCTCTGGAATATATGTGAATGACATTCATATAGTAAATATTTATACAACAGTAACCTGAGTATTACCTATTAGAAAGAATGTTTTATGTCATTTGGAATGAGAGAAAGATAGAGATTCTGGAGTTTCACAGTAAGTTCATATGTCATTTGTTCCGGAGTTTGTTTATGAATGTGCTTTGGAGAGAATTTCCTGGATTTCATGATTTTGAAACTTCCTTTCCTTATTTTTACCTTGATTATGTGTGTGTTTAAATTAAAGAGGACTTATACTCTCTCCTACATGAGTTTATTTAAGGCTCAGTGTTTAAAACCTCGATGGTTGTCCTTTGGTTGAGGGTATCAACTGTGTTGGAGGAAGGAGGAACAGACTTGCTGGTAAGGACAGTGATCCTCCTGTATGCTACCAGGTGCTTGAAAGGCTCATGTAAGAGTGCTAAAATTTCCTTTATGGAAGAAGTGCAATTTCCCATTGAAGAGGCGGCTGCCAGAAGCAAGGCAGTAGGGCCTGGATGTGGGAACGATGTGTTTAGCAGCAAGCAGCAGTGCCAGCAGGTCCCTTCTGGGCCCAGGAGCAGCCCTGCTGCCTTGCACTGGGTGCCTGCAAGCTGAACAGCTACTCCGGGCTCCTCCTCCGGGATCCTCCGGATCCAGCGCCTACTGGAGGGAAAGTATCAAATTAAAGGAAATAAATGAATAAAGCAAGTGGAAGTTTCTTGGCATTTTTTTCTTAGTGTTTTCTGTGCTCACCATTGGGTTCTGCACATCCTTCTATGCCTTGTTAGTTTATGTAGGGCTCAGTAGGATCCTGATAAAAGTCCTTGTCTGTAGATATATCTGCCTGTTAGTCTAGATTCATTTACTTTTAGATATGCTGCATGTCTCTGTCCTGATCAAATTAAGTAGGCGTGAATCTATTTTTGTGTAAAATATTATGACAGTCTGCACTCTTACTGGAAGCGAAGGTTTTAAGGCATCTTTCTAAAAATGCCTTCACTAATGACTCATGAGACAGCACGAGGCTGAAGAGTTGTCTGGAAAGCCCCGTGGAAATGAGGTTTGTGGGCAGGTGCCGGTGACTGCCGGGCTCCTTTGCCCTTATCAGCTGCCTGCTATCAGCTCGAGGGGGGGCTGTGCAGCCGGCGGTGCTTGGAGCAGCTCCGGAGAGGAGTTCCCAGGAGTTCCGGGAGCTGCGTGCTCCCTGTGCGGGGCCTGGGAGGCTGCAGGGTGGGCCTGGGTTTGCTTGCCAGCAGCTGCACGGCCTTGCTGCACGCAGCGCCGTGCCTGCGCTCAGGTGGCTCCGTGAAGGAGGGCGCTGAGGTGGAGCTGCAGCGACCCTGGAGCCGCCTGCACACGGAGAGCTTTGTCCAGGGGCTCCCGTTGGGCTCTGTGTGGGCACTGCTCTTGGCCTGAGAAGCCGAGAGAAGATGCAGGGGTGGATTCCTCCCAGCTGGCAGAGCCTCAGAGCAGGCAGGGAGGAGGCACCTGGTGCCATTCTCTGCACGGCTTCCGCTGCAGAGCATCAGTGGTTTCTGTCACCTCAGGCACCTCCTGCGGCACCTGCCTGCTCTGGTGCCCCTCAAGGAAGATCAGGTCCAGAACATCAAGTGTCTTGCCTTCCTGTGCAGTGAATGTGCCCTCCTTAGGGTCGCAGGGATCTCACTTCAGGCTGGGTGCTGTTGAGCCTGTGACCCGTGTTCCCATTTGAGCTGTTGTTTTGAGCGTAGCAAATGAGAAATCTCTTACTGAGATGGGCCTTGTTTGGCTGAAGGAAACCCGGCGTGTTTGTGTTAATCCTGTACAGTTCTAGGGGCCCACAGGCCCTGGGTGCCCGGGCAGTGTTTTCCTGCCGTAGGTGCAGGCGCCGGGTGGATGCAGGGAGACCATCCCTTATTGATCAGCAGCAGATTCCCTGGGCGGCAGTGCCACCTACCGTTCCCTGCGCTAGAGCCTAAACCCAGCGCAAAGTCACTTACAGCCTTCTTTTAATTTCAGACAGAGAATCTATATTTTTCAACAGCCACAACGTTTCGAAGCCGGAATCATCGTCTGTGCTAACAGCGGTAAGTAGCCTGGTCCCTGCTGCTCTAGCCTGGCTGGAAACCTGTATCTAGTCCTTTCTTATCGCAGCGTTAGTAGCCAGCGACCCTCCTTCACAAGTTGTGTGCTTCTGTGTTGCAGGCTGAGGTCTGTTTGGTACAAGGAAGCAGCTTGCCTGGGTGTCCCTCGGGTTTTCCTTACCGAGCTCCGGTGAGGAAGCAGTGCTGCAGCAGGCCTGTCTGCTGCTCGCCAGGCTAAACTGCCCACAGTTAATCTAGGCAAAGGGAATAAGAAGATTCTGAATACAAATATCTGGCCTTTTCCTGTCCAGGGAGCTTAATAAGCATAAATCATCCTTCTAGGACTCAGTTCTGTGAGGAAAGACACATGGTGAAAATTCGAGCAGAGAAATTGTACTGGGACATGCAGGCAGTCTGGAGCTGCCGTCTCCAGGTCCTTCCGAGTCCACTGCCTCAAGCACGTCACTGTTTAATGCGTGCGTTGCCAGTCCTTTTAATAGGCTTTGTGCATGTCATTCCTAACAAGTTCTCAGACCTACAGCTGCTCTGAAAGTCACTTTACAGGACTGGGTCCTTCAAATCTCTGAGTCTGCAGATTCTTTTCTGTTTCATACACTCTATTTGGGAGTCGCTTCCTAGCCAGAAATGGCTACGAATAGCCAGAACTTATGAATAGCCAGAAATGCATAACTTAGAATTATGCATGACAAGGATGTGCCTGCTAAATTTTAAAGTTATTATTGTTCTAGTCATAAATCCCTTTGTGGCTAAATTTATTAAACTTATGGAGAGCATATCCTCTTGTCATTTATTGCTCTCATATGCAAGCAAAACCCATGCACATTTCTGCAAGCACCACAGTATCCTTCTGCCATATAACCTATTACTTAAGTAGTGAGAAAATTGACATTTTCAAGCAACCTGAGTCATTTGTAGTACTAAAATTTACAGGATCATTCATACGTCTAAACCCGCATTAAAAACTATCCTGTTTGAATTAGGCTCTGCCTCAAGATATCAGTCAGTTATATTACATAGTTTAGATTAATTAAATGGAGAACTCTATGTTATCAGTCCTTTGACACAGACGCTAATCTACATTGAAATAACAGAATGATAACCAGAGTATTTGCAGTGCAGGGCTAAGCACACTAGCTTTGTTTGACTTCTTTTTAAGGTATGGATGTAGTATTTTAAATAGCGAGTCTGATTCTTTGTTCAGTCCTACACTGACGTGTCTCTCCAAGGTACTGCACTGATATAAAACAGAAAAAAACTTTGTGCTTTAGAGTGGATGAACTTCTGATAAATATAGGATTCCAAATTACAAAAGAAGTTTCTCTTTGTTTCTTTCTCTGTTTCATTCCACCAGTTCTCTGCAATAAGATTGGGTGGATATCCAATTGGAAACCTCTGAAAATTAATCTTTTCACTAAGAACAGTTTTCAAGTCCCTTAGTAATGTGTCTTTTTCCACTATAGCTTGATAAAATCGAAGGAGTGTTTGAGCGGCCCAATGATGACGTGATCCGGGAAATCTCCAAGGCGCTGCGGCAAGCTCTGGGAGTTTCCCTCTTTGGAATTGATATCATCATTAACAATCAGACTGGGCAGCACGCGGTCATTGATATAAATGCATTCCCAGGTGAGAAAGCCCTTCCACGCAGGCAGTGTGGAAGCCACGGTCCATGTGCTTAGAGTGAAGCTTTACGGATGGTGTCTCATTGCAGTAGACAGCAGTAGACAAGATTGTCCTGAGATCAGACACTGATCTAGAAGGGCAGGACATTGAGCTATTAAATTTGCTACTGAAATATCAGTTCTTAGGAGGTAATGGCCAAAGCTGAATGGCCAGCTCTAATGTAGTCTCATGTAGGCCCTGGTCTGCCCTGCAGGCAGGATGCCCAGAGCAATAGCATGGGACCTCATAGTGGGGCCTGACCTCTCTAGGTCTGTGTCTTACTCTAAAGATGAAGAAAGGAACAAAAAAATTCTATTTTTGGAGAGCCTCTAAGAGGACTTTTGTTCAGACTGTGCAGTTAAAGGTACTGAGGGGGAAGAAGCAGCAAACTGTTCCCTTGAAAATCTCTTCCTTTGCAAATTGATTTTTCGTGAAATGACATTTTATGTATGACATCAAAAAGATGGGTCTGAGGAAGATGTTGAAATTGCAGGTGTGCAGGACTTGCTATAGGGTGTTAAATAGCCTTGCAAGCTGCCAAAAGGGGACAGTGGAATAAACCAATAAATTAGATCTTGAAAACAGGTAAATTTGTCCCACACTTTGTTAGTAAAAATGATGTCTTAGAAACAACTAAAAAAGGTTTTTGACTACTGGAGTTGCTAAAAAGGAACAGTAAGTATGTATAATGGGAGATAATAATACTATGACTTTCATATTAAATTCAGTTGTCTGGTACAGGAAAATAATATAACCTCATCTGAAGTGATTGCTGTGTTGTATGCTTTTTATTTCCTCCTCAAGAATCATCTGTCATTACCTGAATGGTGGTGTTTGTTTTCAGCAATGCACACAAACTGTTACAAACCGAGTTTAACCTTGACATTAGAGCTTCTGAATTTTCACTATTACTGAGGGTTTAGAGAGAGAGAGAGAAATCTTGTCTTGAGCATTTGGTCTTCTTAATAATTCAGTCTCAGTTCTCAGTCACACAACAAGCCTGTTGTGTCTCGCCCATCTATCTCTACAGCTTAGGGCTTTCTTTTAAAATTCCAACCTTGCTATTCTATTTATTTTGGGTCACTTTGCAGCTTGAGTCTACCATATGGTGTTGTTGCAATCCACAAATTCATGAAAACAGTCTTTCGATAGGAGCAGCAAAACAAACAATCTAAATTAGGTGTGAGATGGAATAAGATCAGTTTTATGAACGGAATTGTATTTCAAACAGCTGGATATTGAAGTCAATGGTGCAAAACATCCCTTTGCAGTCCAGCATTTTGCATTCCTGTTTGTATCTGGGTTTTGTTTGTTTGTTTGTTCAAGTATTGTTTTAGATTTGATGCTTTTTGCACAGCCTGAACTGAAGTTCACATGCTGAACTTCCCCAGTTAGAAAGTCCACACTGGATGATAGCTAGGGGCAAATTAGCTATTTAAAGAGAAGAAATGTCTCCTTGTTGTGACAGAAACTCGTGGAATTGCCTTCAGCATTGTGCTCTGCTCTGCTTCCATCCCAAGGCAAAAGTTTGGGGATTTTGATATAGACCCCGAAGTAGGATATTTCAGTCTTGCACTGCAACTGATCTTTGAATAGAGGTTGAATTAACAGCATGTTTTTGTCCTTTTGAGATACTCGGGAGCAGGAGGAAGCTTCTTGTGCCTCACACAGGGTTTTTTAGTGGTGAACATGTGGGTAATGAAGGTAGCCACTGATCTTATAACTGTGGGGGCTGTGTTGAAGACTAGTTGGGGAAGGTCCACGAGATAGCAGCAAGGACCAGACAGTTGAAAGGGAGAAGGCTGGGGGAGACCAAAGTGTCTCATCAATCTGTAAAATGCAGCCAACTGAGAGAGGAGAGCTGCCCTCGAGGGCTGCTGAGGTCAGACAAGAAGCGTTGGGTTGAAATACAGCAGAGGTGCCAGTTTGCCTAAAGGCTGAGCAGCTTCAAGGACTGTCTTTCTGATCAAAGCCTGCAGCTTCCTAATGAGAGGGGGATGTGCAGCCCTACCAAAGCGAGGCACTACATCTCACTGTTCCTGGTTTCCTGATTCCAGGAAGGAGCTTTTCCTCCCTCCTGTTCCTCAAGTCGTCCTGTCCAGCAAAGATTGCAGCAGGGCCACATAAGAGCCGAGACACAGCTTGAGGACCTGGCACGTTATCTGTGCAGCACTGCCTGGCAGGGAGGGAGAGGAAGAGGTGCTTCGGGGAGCATTCGCAGCCTCTCTCACAGAGCCCAGGCTGCTGCGCCAAGCCAGGCCTGGCCAAAGGCCCGAGGAAGTAGCCAAGTTCTTCTCAGTGGTGGCCAGTGACAGGACAAGGGACAATGGGTGCAAGTTGCAACACAGGCAGTTCCATCTCCATGTGAGGAGGAACTTCACTGTGGGGGTGTCAGAACCCTGGCACAGGCTGCCCAGGGAGGCTGTGGAGTCTCCTTCTCTGGAGATCTTCCAAACCCGCCTGGATGCCACCCTGTGCCCCGTGCTCTGGGTGTCCCTGCTGGAGCAGGGGGTAGGATTGAATGTTCTCTAGAGGTCCCTTCTAACCTCAACCATTCTGTGATTCTGTGCTGCTCACCTTCGTGCCGAGCGGGCCCGGCGCTCATTCGGAGCCGCCCCTTCCTCCCGCTGTGGCTGTCCTCTCAGGACGCAGCTGACACTGGAGTCCGGAGCACACGTGTCTGCAGGAGGCTGTCATTTGCCACCTGCTCTGTTTAGCACCAGCGATGCCTCAAAGAGATTTTAAAGATGAATGCCTAAAAGGCCTATTGTGTCTCCTGTTCTAAAGGGAACTGCCTATATTTAGTGATGGTTACGTGCCGCAGTGTTGAACAGTAGGCACAGTCACATAGTGTGGGGCTTATGTTTGACCTCAGGTAACTGGGGAATAAAAAGGGCTCCATTTTGGCAGTACTGGGTACATTTCCTTCCTACCTGTGAGCACTCGGAGGACACTGACGATAATTTTCTTTATATCCAAGTTCAGACCTCATGTAGACTGGGTGTCTGCGGGGTATCAGTGGGCTGTGCCGGGGCAGCAGCTGCTGTAGCATGATTCCTGCAACTGCTGCTTTGAGCCATGCAAAATTTATACTCTCTCAGTGCCCCTGTGTGTAACATAAAGCCCAATTCCACTGCCAGTCGTTTCTGAAGGTGTAATTTAATTTGCCCTTCTTGATTTCCTTGTGGTCACAGCACAGTGACATCCCACAGTTACCTTTTGAGAGATGTGCAGGAGCAGCCAGTGAAGAGAGTCCAGCAATACTGGAGTTTGCAGCCTCCCCCAGCACCCTGGGGCTCGAGTTGAGACACCCTGGTCCTCCCTTCCCTGGTTATAGCTGTGCTGAGCTCCCTTCTCACAGCGTTATTCCCAGCTAGCAAGCAGAGGGCTGTCCCGGGGGCAGCCTGCCTCAAATGTGTGGCTTCCTTGCACCGTGACATCTGCTGATTTCAGGGCTCCATAAGTGGCCACCTTATCCCCATGAAATATTAAAAGCAGATTCTTTGTGCGTTTGCCACGTGCCCTCCAACAAGGCTGATGTGTTTTAGCGGAGCAGGCACAGAGCACTCTCGGGTACTACGGAGCCTCTCGGAATATTAAAGCTGTTTCTATGGAGATGACTTATTCCCAGGGTGTTTGAAGCACTCTGAGTAGATTTGAAGGCTAATCCCATGGCTTTTACATAAGCAAGAAAATAAAACAGGCACCTCTGTGGGAGAGGTGAGTGTCCTGTTCTGGCTCCTGTGACTGTAGAAGTCGGAGTTGGCCCCTGCCAAGGGCTGGATTTTAGCAGAATATGTGGGTCACTGGAAAGCCTGGTGTTCTGGTTTTCCTTTTTTTTTTTTTTTTTTTTTTGAGCTTGTTTAGGGTTTTTTGAGATAAAAAAAACTGGGAGCTGTTGTCCTACATTACTGTTGCTTTAGGTAACTTGTTAGAGAGTACCTAGGAGAACTGTGACTGACAGCGATAAAATCTGAAGCACTGCAGCAGCCTAAATAAGAGTAAATTGGTTAACATATGTGTATTATAAATACACCATAAAATCACCACATTTGTATTAATGTTGAATTATCCTTCTGTGTTATGTTTTTTCAGGAAGCTGGGTTTTTATTGCCATAGAAATTTGGCTTTTACAGGAGAAGGGAGATTTAAACTGAATTATTTATGGATGTGTGAGACTCTTCTGCCGTGTGATCACAGCACTGAAAGTGTTTTAAAATGTGCATTTACTTTGTGGTCTCTGGTTTTGCTCACGTGCTGCTCCATGTGAACATGTGCTATTCACATGGGACTTTTAAAGGGTTATTTACTGCTCCAGTCTCCTGAATTAATATAAGTCACTTTTAAAATACTTCTCTGGGTGTTTTAAAACAGTCACTCTGGCCTATTGAATACTCTGAATGTCATATGTCACCTCATATCCCATCAAATTGATACAAAGCCTGGGTAATGCAGTGGCAGGTAAAATGCATTTCAAGGCATTTTATGGATGTTTCCTGTTTTAAGATGCATACAGTGGTGATGCTCTGCCTGTTGCACAGCGTGCTCTGCTCCTGCTGCTGGCCTTCGTGTCCCTAAATATTCAGTGTCCCCTGCCATCTGACCAACCATTTTAACCAAGAAACCTAGTTAGGGTTAAACTGTGCAGTGTAAGTTGTTTTTTGGAGTCTCTTAGCAGAACCATGAAAAACGCGTAGTTTCAGTACCAAAATCGAAGCATTTCTACCAAATGCGACATAATTGATTTAAATTTTCTGTCCCTCAAGCATTTTTCCAGACAGTACGTAGAGTAGGGAATGGTTTAGTGCTGAGTTAGGTTTGATTAGACAAGCCTGGAAATGTTTGTGCACCAGGAAGCTGCCTTTTCTGTGCAATATAAGGCTGGCCTGTTGCTCTTTGAAATGTCCCTAGCTGAGGGTCTTGCTGGGGAGACTTTAGAGAGGGCCCAGACCCTCAGGGAAGCTGTGCATTAGAGCTGCTTTCCGTGGTAAAACCTGAAAATAGGGTAGAAAAGCTTGACGTTACACCGTGTGACCTAGCGAAAAACCTAGACTTGGGAAAAGATAATATATACACGGGCATTTTTATATGTACACACACACACACACACACACACACACACACACACACACCCTGCGTGAGCAGGGAGGTTGGACTAGATGACCTCTGAGGTCCTGTCCAACCTTCAGCATTCTGTGATTCTATGATTCTATGGGAGGAAAAAGGAACAGAAAATGTGAAAGGTGACACAGTTTTTCTCTTGAGCTATTTAAACAAAGATGAACTTAATTTTTTAACATGGGTCTCTGCTCCCGTTTATACTAAGCTACTTGTCCAAAGGATGTTGTGAAAAAGAAGCCTTTTTGCTATCCCTTAGAGGGCAAAGAGAGCCCAAAAAACAGATCAGTAGAAAAGACTGTTGAAAGAGCTTACGGAAATCACTTAACTGCCTTTTCTTTTTTTCCCTTTCTCTCTGTCCTTCCCTTCCTCTGCCACTCGCAGGGTACGAGGGCGTTTCGGAGTTCTTCAGCGACCTCCTGAACCACATAGCGGCCGTGCTGCAGGGCCAGGCGCCCGAGGGGCCGCCGCTGAGCCGCAGCCAGCTGCTGCCCGAGCAGAGCGGCGGCCTCCTGGGCGAGCGGAGGTGCTGCGCCGGCCGCGGAAAAGACTCCTCCTGGATCGTGGAGAGCGAGGCCAGCAGTGCAGTAAAACTGCAGCACCAGAGACTAGGCTGCAACTCGGCTGTGTCCCCCAGCTTCCAGCAGCACTGCGTCGCTACGTTGGCCACCAAGGCTTCCTCTCAATAACTTGCCGAGGCCGGGGACTCAGGAGAAGCCCCAGGGATGCGACGTGCCGTCCCGGAACCAGACAGATCAGGCTGTAGAAATACACTTGCAAAAAATGAAAAGCGAAGTACAAAAAAAAAAAAAAAGAAAAAGAAAAAAAAAAAACACTTCCATTTGATTTAACCTGATTTGCTGATGAAATGGACAGAAAGGGGGAGGAGGAGGAGGTGATCCAGATCCATTTCGTTAGGTTTCAGTTGCAAATCGGTAGTGAGTTTACACACACACATGGGTTTTAACACTAGTCCTTTCATTGTGGGAGGGTTGCTCTTGCATTTCTATTGTTCTTTGTAATCACTGGTGACCAGCATTTTAAAATCGGACCTCATGGTATCAAGAAGATAATAATGTTGGAGTGTATGAATGTAACAGTGCTAGAAATTTTTGCCTAAAATACTCCCTGATCCTGCTTTCCAGCTCGACCCTCGCGAGAGGAAGCTAAGAGCACCTCAGTACCACCAAGCCAGATCTGTGGCAACGTCCAGCAGACACGATGTTCACAGGTAGCTTGCTGTGCTGGGGCAGAGCTGCCTGCTTGTTCAGGGTGCAGGACTGAGGCACCAGCCCTGCTTCCAGCTTTGCAGTTTTTCCCCTGGCCTCACTGCCTCAGTAGAAAGCAGCTTCTAACTACACTTGCCGATAGCAGAAACCTGCCTGATGAGACACGTCTGGAAAAAGGGTGCAGATGGTCAGGATGAGTGACTTGTAGATGAAGCATCATCCTTCCAAGCCTCCGCTGGAGTTGAAATCCATGAAGAGCTCGTGGTTTCAGCTCATCTTTTAGCAGAGAGTGTAATTCTCCCTCCATTGGATTGGGAGGAGTCTGGGACAGCTCTGCAAGGGGGCTGGCAAAGAGCCACATATTTTCCATAGAGCAGCACATCTGGTGTGCAGATCCGAAGGAGTAGCGCAGCGCTGCCTTTCACACATCCACCACTCCATACATTGTATTTTTCTTCCAGAGACATTTAAGTAAGGGCAGAATTGCCTGGAGTGAGGCTTTGTATGAGGTAGCAGCAATACAGGGCAGCTCTGGCTGAGAGACTTCATTATTGGGGTACGGGCTGTCAGATGAAGCTGTGTGCTAATTTATGGCAGTGCTCTGTATCACCTGTAAACTACAGCCCAGCCAAATTGTATATTGCTCTTGAGACAGTAACCCTACAGTGTTCACCCTCTATTGCTTCTTGTAGCATTGCAGCATCTCCTGCTGCGGAGAATTCCTGCAACTTTTGCCAATTCTGAACACTAAACTGGAAGTAACTGAGTCTGTCCGCGCTGGGAACATAGACACTATTCTGGTAGACTTAGCGGCCTTTCCTTCTGCATATAAGCCCTGAACTAAGTTTAAGGAGGCGGGGTTAAGAAAATTTCCTTAGTTAAGCTCTTAGCTTACAGGTAAGGGAATTTCCATCGTTCTATACCAGGCATTTATAAAGCACTCATCACTGTGGCATCTAATACTAGTTTTGCTGCTGTCATCCTGTAGATACCTACTCGAAAGCAAAGGACCAGGCAATAAGAGACCAGATAGACCAAGGAGAAGTACTAGACCAAAATGTGGAAAGGATGTCACCATCCTGCCCGATGGTACCAGTCTATAGGAGAAGATGTTCCTAAGAGCATTCTGTAGCAATTACTTTCTGCAAATGATGATTTTCCTTTAGGAGGCATTGGATATTTTTCCCAAAGTGCCCTTCTAGGGAATTGTCTATAGCTGCGATTGGATTTTCGAGGATGATTCATACAACACAATATTATTCCACCTCTCGAAAGGCACTAACTTTCAGTTTAGGTCTTTCTATAAGGACTGGACAGAGTCGAGTAGCTGTTGAATTCCATGGGGGCCCCAGGTAGAGCCGAGCTGCACGTGGGCTGTGAGCTGGGCCTATCTCTAAGCCTCGAGCACCCGGCTCACAGAGCTTGGCTGCTGGTGCTGCCAGGGGCTCCCTGTTCACGGGCAGGGTTTGCATCGGGAAAGACCAAAACTTTCATAAAGCCATGGCCGAAATAAAATCAATGTCTACAGTTTGGGGTTTGTTTTAATCTGTTTAAAAAGAAAAGGCTTTTTATGTTACGTGTGTACCAGAAGATACCCTCAGGAAGGAGCTTGCCAGTGCATATTTTTGTATGGTACTTTCTTGTAACCAGCTGGTGGAGTGTTTGTAGACTTGCCTTTTGCTCCCTTTATTACAACGGCTTTTTTTTTTTTTCCTTTTTAATTGGGTGGTGGGGAAGAAGCAATGATGTTAAAACCGGGGTAGTAACTCAAGACCTTTCCAACTAAGTATGTTTACATGAACCCGAGTGTTGGATCCAATCGAAATGTCTGTATGCTGTTTCCTAGTTAGAACATCAAATAAGATTTTTATTTTCCTGGCTGCCTTCTGAATTTTGGTTGGCCTATTTTGCACTGCTTTATTTCTCCAAAATAAACTACTGAAATATAACTGTGCATTTTAAACTTGTTTACAAATGATTGTTAAAAGTTTATTTTGTAATTCTCTAAAGGCTTACAGAAATACTATATTTAAATATTACTCCAGACCTTGGCAGTAACTAGAAAACAAGTTTAGGTTGTTGGTGTGATCAGTGACATGTTTTTCCCATAGTCTGTAATTTATTTTTATTTATCAAATATATTGGTATCACTTTAATTTACCAGGTGCAAATATGCAGAAACCTGTTGTGATGTGGCATTACAGTAGAATTTTTTACATAAATTACCATGCAATTGCTGTAGTACTATATATTTCTTTGCAAAAGTTGTTGTTATGGCTCACAGGCTAAATCACATGGGAAAATTCGAGAGACCAACTTTTAAAGCCAAATCTTTAAATTACTAAGTGTCCAGACCAATAACTACTTAACTGTAAAACCCTCAAGCATGCACATATTACCAAGCATGTGCTAAAGTGCTTTTCTGAATTGCTGCCTCATTTGATAAGTTCAGGGTAGTTTTGATTTAAGATAAGCTTTGCAGAAAACTGGCTGATGGTGTGTAGCATTTTTTTTTCTCTTTTGAGAGTAATAAAGCTTAGCAATTTTAGACATTCACAGAATGCTTTTGCTCTTAAGCTTTTGCAGACAATCTGGGTGAGATTTTCTGTGCTGGCTGTTTGAATCCAGTTACCGTGGGGTAGAAGAGGTTGTGCTGTGATTTCAGAGGCATAGCTACTATTGCTGGAGCAATGACATTGAAATTAAATGGTCACTGCTTCGCTTAGGGATCGGATGCTGGTGTGTTTCACTGTTACAAAAGCAGAGGAACACCCCTGGCTTGGTGGGATTCCTCCAGCTCTTACATCAGCGTGATGGGGACGATTTGATGGTGATTTCCACCCTAATTATGTAATTTGCTTCAGTAGGTGAAGACTCTTCCCTGTTAAAGACATCTCACACAGTCTCACCATGGCCTGGCCGTAGAACTGTTGCTGTCCCCTGTCCCCTCCATCCGGCTTTGCCAAGTTGCCCTTTGGTTTGTAACGGCTCTACCGGAGCAATCGGATCACTATGTGGGACGAAACGTGGGACTGTTCGTGAGCAGGAGGGTGCTCGGGTGGAAGCCTCCAGCTTCCCCTGGGCATCGGAGCTGGTCGCACAGCAAAAGGCAGCGCTGGGGCTGCCGCGGGAGCTGCAGGCGAGGGGGCTGCTGCGGACACGGCCCCAAGCGCTGCAGGTCACGACGGGCTCTGCGGGGCCAGGGAGCCGCGGTAGGGCATGGAGAAAAACGGCAGGAGACAGTCAGGAGGGAGCAGAAGAAATGTGGCCAGAGGGATTTAAATTGACTGGGAAAAAGGAAAACAAGGAGAAGTGCTTCCGTGGTTTCCATCCCCACAACCCTGCCAGGCCAGGCATGCCAGCTCCTAAGTTAATGCCTACTTCCCAGCGTCTTTGTGTGGCAGCAGTGCCCAGTGAGGCAGGTCTGGCCCAGCAGCTTGCAGCCTTGCCCTCCACAGCTGTGCAGAAAATCTCGGGTTTGGGGTTTTTTCTTTTCTAGTGAATAGACTATTTTGAGTTTGTAAAAGTCACCCCGTGTGCATACTTGCAGGAATTCACTTCCATTACCCTGCTAATTCTCTCCTCCTTAGTAACAGATGTATTGATTTTTGTATTCAATAGACAATTACTTCATGGCGTTGCAACTATGTGTTTTGTAATTAGGAGTCTGTGAAAATGCTTTGTGTAGATTAAAATATTTCCTTTAATATAATCTCCTCTTACTTTCATAGATAAACAGACACACTGTTGCAGATCACATTGCTGATTTTATTTGTAATGTTGCTTTCATACCTTATTTCAAAGGAATGTAACCTCCAGAAAAGTACTTTCCACATCTTCACTGCCTTTCCTTTTGCTGTTCACTCCATGTGGATCCAGGCCATCAGCTTGAGTTTGTGATGCCGTGGGCTTGAGATCCTCAGTGGATTCTACCGTGATTACAGGGTTACAGAATGCAGTAGTTTGTTGGTATTTTAGAGGATCCAGGTTTAAAGGAAGCCCCGTGAATGATTCCTCGGCGTTGCAAGCCTGGCGAGCGGAGGCCCTGAGCTGCACGCGCGCGGCCGCAGGGTCCGGCTCGCTGCCCCTGGGGCTGCACTTCTCCCAGGGAAGGAAACGATCACTGCAGGAAAACGTGCAGCGGGAGGTGCAGCCAGAAGGCACGGAGCAAAGGGAGGGCTTGGGACTAAAATCCTGGTCTTGCTGGAGCCGGCGGATGTTCTGGCACCGTTGGGCCAGGATTTTGCTCTTTAACTGCGAGGGGAGAATTTTTGCTCTCCACCCCTCTCATCTGCGAGGCCGGTGCTGAGCCCGTGATCTGCACGAGCCCCTTGGACAGCGGCCTTGCCCGCGGGCTGTGGGTTTGCAGAGGGCTCCTGGTGGTGCCCTCTGCACCAGCCGGTGGTGGTTGGTGGCTCCTGGAACTCCAGAGATAGCCCAAACAGCCAGTGAACAGCTCAGGAAGACCAGATCTTCCTCTGCCTGTCATCCTTCTTAAGGAAAAACACCTTTTTTTCCTCTTTCATTCTTTACACAGTAGTTTTTAGATATAAATTATTTTAACTTTTTTTTGTGTGTGCAAAGTCATATATACATATATAAAGTTATTAAAAGGTTGAGTATATGTTGAGTATATAATAGTGACTTCTTTGTTTCCGATGTTAGCAGACCCTAAAAATGAGAGTTGTTTCTCCTCTTGTAAAGTCAGTGCTGTAAAAAAAAAATTAAAAATAAAAGATGTACTAGATGTACCTTTTATTATTTATTTCCAAATCAGTATTTGATAGGGCTTGTGTATACCCTTGTGAGAACCACATACTAAAATGCAGCCATTCTTAAAGTGTAATAATAATCATTCCTTGGCATCTCAGCCGTTCGGAGAAAACGAGCCCTCATGTGAGAAGCGTTGGATATTCTCCTTCAGCCCCGTCTTCGCTCTCACTTAAGCGTGGTTAAAACTCGGGGACCGTTTCTGTGTGTGCTGGTTTCACAGGTTCAGCAATGTCTGTGTGCAGATCCAGCTGTGCAGTGTTAACAAGTGTGTCTTGTGATTTGCCTCAGCCCTGTTCACAAGGATTTCTGAAACAATGCCCAGTTTGTACTTAATTTGTATAGAATTATATAAGCCTTTTAAAAAAAAAAAAAAAAATCATGGTTTACTGTAAAAAACAAAAACAGTTGGTTTTTGGCTACTTCAGTTGCACGACTGATCAGATCTGATGATGAGGACGGTGCTTTCATCCAACAGCATTGGTTTCAATGGTAATACATTCCTTTTCCTCCTGCCTCATTTGCCAAACCCCTGTGCTGGACAGTATTTTGGTTTCACCAGTAAAGCAATATGCAGTAGGTATTGTGGCATTCTCTCTGTAACTGTTCTGGAGACAGAATTGTCCCTTTCCAACACGTAATGAAAATAAATGCCTTACAACATGTTGTACTCGGCTTTCTCTTCATGAGTGGGTAGGGCAGAGGCAGACAGCTTTTACGGGGTGCTCATTTTCCTGAACTTGCTTTTCACATCCTTCCCCCTTTGAGTTGTTTGCAGCTACTCACTTCAGACCTTGTTTCACCACTGCTGAGAGTCAAGGCTAGTTGGATTTGGTTTGCTTTTTCACCTTGAAGTGTAGAGGGAAGTGGGCTATTTATACATTATTGAATAAAGTAGCTGAGCATCACTGGGATTCAGCCTTTACAAGCCATGCTGCTGCTGTGGTTAAGAATTCATTCCTAATGGAGTGCTCTAGGCTCATTCTGTCCTCATCATCCTGGAGAGGGAATTCCCAACTTGATTAAAAATCCTGCCACGTTTTGAGTAATGAGGACCATATTTTGACTAGCGCAGAGAGGAGCCGGTGGGATTAACTCTGGCGGAGCAACACGCGTGCTGGGCAGAGCCCCTCGTGTGCGTGACGAGCGCGGGTGCAGCGGGTCCCGCGCGGCCTCCGAGGCTGCCGGGAGGGCTTGGGAGCCTGGGAAGCAGTTACTGTTCGCTGGGCAGTGAGCATTGCCAGCAGGCCCCATGTCTTCCTAAGCCCAGGAGTTTCTTCCATTTCCTTTCTCTGGAAGACGGGACAATTGCTTCCGTTAGCATTGAGCTATTTATTACTCTTTTATTACTATTATTTAACTCGCTCGTTACCCAAGTAGCTTCATTTTATTATTGACCCAATGCATAAGCTCATAAATATCTTTCTGTCTGGCTAACCTGGGGTTAGTCTATGAATTACGGATTTGATCCCTGACTTACGGAAATACTTGGAGCTTTGCAGCTGGGCTGTGGGAAACCACAAGAGTCCTGCCTGTCCGTGCTGAGGGGGTTCCCTTGCCGAACAGGACTGTGCTTTCTGCATGGGCAGCCGTGCCAAGGACCTTGTGGAGAGGTCCTTGGTTTGGGGCCTTGGTGTTGGGTGCTGTTGGCAGGGCGCAAGGAGGGAAACTCCACTCAGGGGTGTTACAGTAAGGAGAGACTTTCATTTCCCCCTTCCGAGATAGGACCAGTCCTATCCCGTGCAAACGACTGAGACTGAAGCTGGAAAAACAAGGGAAGGAACCCACTGCAGTTTTATTTTTCCTTAGATAAATTTTTCTTTATATAGAATATATTACAGTCAGAGTTCTCAGCTTTTAATCAAAAGATAACAAGTTATTGCAGTTTTATCCAGTGAAACTACCGGCGGTAGGAGAACATTCTAGAAAGCTGTCTTGTCTTAAAGAAAAAAGAAAAACAGAGAGGAGAAAAAAAGAGGAAATACACATGTAAGTCACACTTCTGAGCTACAGTCATCCAAGGTACAGGTGGGACTCCATAGTGGACAGAGGAGCATGAAATCAAAGCAGAGATGGGCACGACACTACTGCGAGACAGCAGGCCTGGCTCTGGGGAGATGGGCTTCCTAGGCAAGATGCTACTGCTCTGTCGGCATCTCTTTTAAGTCAGTAAATGAAAATGTGGCGTGAAGGGGTGAGTGCAGCTCTGGCTTTTGTGCAAGCGGCGAGCTGGGCGAGTCTTCAGCCCCGTCTCAGTTCGTGCAGCTTGTGGGCGACTTTCTCGAGCTCCGCTTCGATGGCCGCCAGGCTCTCCAGCTCCTGGTCCTGCAACGAGAGCCACCGAGACACAGGTCAGCCCAGCCAGGCCTCGAGCCCAGCGGAAGCAAGTCCCAGAGCAGCTCGGTGGTGGAAGGGAGCTGTGGAAACCTCGTGCCGGGCGGGTTTGGAGCCCCTGAGGGACAGGCACCATCTCTAGATACACGTTACTTGGTCCTGCTCTAGGGGCACTGGGCAATAAATCACCGCAACAGCTGATAAAGCTTTCTGCAAGAAGCCTAACACCCTCGCCCCAGTTCCTGCGTGAGAAGCTGTTTATAGTTATCACCAAATGTGGTCTAGCTTGGAAAGCCTCCTGCCCGTGGAGGCCGTCCACGTCTCTCACTTTCCTCCCGAGCCGAAGGCGTGAGGTGCGACGCAGACCCGCAGCGCTGCTGTGTGGGGAACCAGGGATGTCCAGGCAGGGCCTCCCTGCTGCAGCCCAGGACAGGCAGAGGCGACATGTGGCCGTGGGAGGCTCCCGGCCTCCTGCACTGCCGGGATTGGGCCGGGATGGAGGCCGGTGCCTGGGGAGCACAGCAAGTGCCGGCTCCACAGGGACCCGTGCGGCCGCCTCCCATGCTGCTCCGGCGCGGAGAGAGGCTGAGGAAAACAGGCTTCTCCACTGGGAAAAACAGCAACCGAGGACGCAACCAACCGAAAAGCTCCTGTCGCTCCTCATGCAGTGACCCTGCCCCTGCTGAGGTGGCTCTTGCGCCTCTCGGGGGCAGCCTGAGGCTACCTCGCTCAGCTCCTCCGAGCAAACGGAGCCAGGGTCAGTGCGCGCGGCCCGGCCCGCTCTGGGCTGGCACCACAGCCCTCTGCAGCCCCATGCCGCCTTGCCGCCGCTCGCAGCCCTTCTGTCTCCCTGCGCAGTAGGTGCGTGGCCGGAGCGCGACACCAGCTCTGCGGGGCCCAGCTGAGTCCCCCCAGCACCAGCGCTGCTTTCCTGGCCGTGGCCTCTGCAGGGGCGGCGCCTGCGTGTGAGGGTGCCGCGCTGGTTTCTCTACATGTACCTTGGAAAAAAAAAGCCATAAGACACCTGGGAAAAGTCCGTTGTTTCTGAGCTATAAAAAGTGAAAAACTCACAGTCTTCTCCACTGCCCGGGCCTCAGCCGAGCCCCAGAGGGGGCCCAGCTGCCCTCCCGTGGGGCTGGTGGCTGCCCTCTCCTCACTGCCAGGCCCGGGGCAGGCGCCGAGGCCTCCCCCGCTCCCAGGAGCCCTGAGCCAGCTAAAATTAAAAATAAGTCTGGTTGCTACTGTAAACACAGCAGTTGCAGAGGTTCAGCTGCCTGCTTCCCTCGCTCAGGGCTGGAGAGTCTGGGGATCAATGCGCTGAGGCGAAACCAGCCAGGCAGGGCCCTAAATAGAACCAGAGGGAGGAGGAGGAGAGGAGACGGGGCCGATGGCTCAGCAGCAGCGAGCTCCTCACCAGCGCTCCTTGCGCAGGCAAGTGCAGAGGTCTTGGACACAGGCAAGAGACACCTTTGACTTTGCTTTGAACCTGAACTAGAGATGGGCTGAGGATTTCTGCGACCTGCGTGGCTATTGCCCTTCGGGCTGTATTTTGGTGTATAATCCAGCGTTCTGGAGGCAGGAGCATGGCTGTGGCTCAGGCACCTGCAGTCACTAGCCTGTCCAGCCCACTCCTCTATCCCAGCGAGTACCAAACACCAGTGCCTGGAGCTCTGCCTCATCAGCACAGTCTGTAGTCACCTCTCCTCCGAGGTGGCTAAATGCAGAGAGTCAGGTCACCCCAAGACTGTCATCCAAAGCACATCTGTGAGACGCTCCAGCTCCATGCAAGGCCTGGACAGTCACGTCCTTGGTGACAAGTATGGCTGCCCAGCTTAGCTGGCTGCCCAGGGACATGATACGTTGCTGCACGGTGGCCCTTGAGGCGTTAGGGAACTAAGTCTTAGGTTTGGAAAGCATAACTTAGACACATTCATGCCTCTTAAAACCTTTTCCACTCCAGTGCCCCAGCTTTCTTGCCTGCTCCTAGACCTCTGGTTTGCCCCTCTGGGAGGTGCAACACTACTCGCTCGATATTCGGCCCGGGGCAAGACTTTCCTCTGGCTTGACTGGATTTTAGGACACAGGAACCTTCCTCAAGGCTACTGGTGCCACCCTGGTTACTGTGTCCAGCACAGGCCAGCTGGAAGGTCCTGACACATTTTTAAAAAAGCTCATGGGAGAGTAGAATATTTTTGCAGCAGTTAGGAAGACAAGAAAAACAGTAAAAGCCAACCTCCATAATCTGTATGAGCACCTAAAAGGTCACAGGGCATCTCCTTCATGTCACAGCAAAGAAATGGTGGTAGCTGCGTAACAGTGAGGTACAATCCTACATCTCCAAGCATAGTCTGGATTCCCTAGTAATAACTAGACAGAATTTATTGGCAAGCCTGTGTTCACCAACCTCTGTTCTTCTGTTAGCACTGCCTTCCTCATCCTTCTTCTCTTCAGGCATGGCAGCAAGCGGGAAACCTTCACTGCTGTCCTCCTTTGAGTGACGCTTCCATGACCTTCTCGCATCTTCCTCTGGACTACTAAAGTCATACTTGTGGGACCTGAACACCATTTTCATAGACCTGTCTGGGTCTTCTCCACTGTCATTTTCCTCCATGCGCTTCTTTGATGTCAGTTGTTTGGCCAGTTCATCCATTTTATTCCATCTCTTGGAGTCTTCCCATTCCCTGGAGGATTCCTCTTCCGTTTCCTCACTTTTGACATCCCTGGACTGGAAGGCATCCTCCTCTGCTTGCATTGCTTCATCCTCCAGGCGATGCCTTCCTCCTTTCAGTCTGTAGGGCTGCTCTTCCTCCTCCTCTGAGCTCCGCTCATCTTTGCCAAATCCCAAAGCTTCTTCATTGTCTGAAAAAGCATCAAATGCAGCAGTGAGAACAAAGTATAACTGATCAGATACCACATTTAAACCAAGCCTTAATTCTTTATTGCCAAGGAAGCTAGCGTGATTCAAAGTGGAGTTCCTGGCTTATGTCAGCACATGACTTATTGCCAAGATTTTGGAAATGACCATTCTTATGTCAGTGAGAAGACAAGAGGGACAGCAGTCAGAAAACACCTAGGAGGTTCAGGAAGCAGGAAGGAGTGACCCCAGAGTGCTATGAACTGCAGCAAAGCCTGGAAGTGAGGCAGCTGCAGGGCCGTTACCCACCTCTACATGTGCCTGTATGGAGGAATGCCTGAGGGAGCAGGCGGGGGGGTCTGAATGACTGATAGTGGGAGCATTTTTGTAAGTCCTGCTGATACCTATTTGAATTTTTAGGCTTTAAAGCCTTTTATCTGTCTGTCTCAGGGCTCTTGGCTCACCCTTGTGTATGTACCTGTGCAGTTGTCCGAGATACCTACCATCTCTTTGCATCACCTCAGACTCCACGTCCTCCTCAGCCGAGTCAAGTGACCTCTCTGCTTCGGTAGGGTCCTCCTCCACAGGAGTGTCTCCTTGCTCATCTTCCCGCTCAGCACGCCCTCCTGTCTCCTCCTTGCTCTCCTCTTGGCCCTGTCTGGACATCTGCTCTCTCTCCTCCTCAAGCTCCAGGTTGTCACCAGTGTCCCTGGGCTGCTCCTCTTCCTCCTGTTGCTGTTTCTGCTCTTCCTCACCAAGGTCATCACTGATGCGATTGTCCAAAACCTCTTCCCTCTGGGAATCCTCTGCGCCTCCAATCTCATTGCTCCCTGCTTCCTCACGATCCCTCTTCTCGCCAGGATGAGTTTCCCGTGGCCTGGGCTCCCTCTCCTCCAGGCTGTTTTTTCCCTCCTCTTTTGGATCTTCCCTCTCGTTTTGCTGGATTTGCTCGGCCTCCAGCTCAGCCAGGGACATGGTGGGCTGCTCCTCTTCAGGGCTCTCCTGTGCCTCATCTGCAGAGCGAGCAGCAAGAACCAACACCTCCTCTCAGAGCTCTTTGCACAAACAGGGAAGCCTTTGTACTTCTAACTCAGCTTCAGCCCCAGCCTCACTCCCCAGTCTGCTTAACCCACCTCTCATTTAGCAAGTCACTTAAACATACGCCTGCATGCAGGCAAGCCCGGGTGCTAGCTGGTATCTACGTTCCTGAGGAGACATACAGGGCTGAGGTCAACACATGCTGAAGCAGAGCCTGCATTGCCATCTGCCCGGGTGCCAGCAACACGCTCCCTCCCCACGTGAAACCAGAGCACGCACAGAGTGCGAGGATTTGGGGCTGGCACTGCCGTGCTCTCTGTGCACCTGGAAAACTGCCCGGCCATCACGTCGTTCATTCGGCCAGCCCTCGGGAAAGGGAGCCAAGCAGCACTTCTAGGAGAGCCAGAGGGAGCGGGGCCAGCTCTGCTTCTGCTAAACAGCTAGTGAGCAGCAGTAACCAAGAGCTTAACGGAGCCTGCGTGTTTGCTCTTGCTCAGCACAGAGGGTGGGCTCTTCTAGCAGCTAGTCATGGAAACCCTGTTGAAAAAGAAACTGGGCGAGAGGCAGAGGGAAAGGAATGGAGAAAAAGCAGAGTGGAGAGGAGCTGGCACTCCGCAGCGGGACGTGCTGCTGCCCTGGGGATGCCCAGGGGGATGCGGTGCCCTTGCTCCGGCCTCGTGCATGGTCTGCACCCATGCGAGCGGGAGAGCAGGGCTCGAGGGGCCCCAGCAGGCGGGAGAGCTGGAGCCAGCCCAAGGGAGGCTCCCTGTCCTTGCTCTTGCTTTTTGCTGCATTGGCTGCTGCAGCAGCCGTGCCCGTGGGGAGCATCGTTCCTCACGGGTGTCAGGCAGCTTTGGGTTGAAGCAGCGAGGCTCGTGTGGTGCTGCCGCTCGGCAAATCCACAGCAGCTCCTTCCCCTGGAGCCAGAGCCTGCCAGGAGGCCCCTCTGCCAGGGATGCTGTTGCTATGCTAGGAACTGTCTCATCCCCCATCGTCTCTTCCTGACATGGAAAAAGGGAACAGATTGAACCGAGAACAGGCTGAACCTCATGTCTCAGATGCCTGGAAACAAGGGTGGTAAGAGCAGATACCAATTGCTTTTGGGTGTATCGTGTATTTCAGCACAGGATTTCCCTAGTTGTGACTCATTTGAAACATTAAAAATGAGTGATGATGATGACAGCAGGGTGGAAGATCTGTGTCAGTTGTGTAACGTGGACATCTCCAGTTGCTATAGCTCAGAAAGCACATGCTTTTTAAGCTGGTAAATAAGAGCAGAGCAAACACAAGGTTGCTAGTGTGTGCCAGCAACAGCACCAAAAGAAAGGCAGAAATGAAAAGCAGATGGATATATCAAGGTTGTTAGAAAGAACATCCTTGTTTACAGCCAGACTTGAATTTTCTGGGGGTTAGGCTGACACTGACCTCTTTGCTCGTTCTTGTCATTCTGACTTTCAAGGACTTCAGAAAGCTCATCTTCAAAACCGCTGTTTTTCTTCTGTTGCTGAGTTCTCTCACTAGCACCTGTGAGAAGTAATGAGGACAAAGCAACATTCCCTGTTGCATTTTAGAAAGTGGAGACAGGAAAACAGATCTAGTCCTTTTTAATTCTATGTATATTCTTTACAATGTACAAATCTGTTAATGGGTAGCTAGAAGGAAAAGCAAGATAAGAGAATGTGTGAAGCAACTGGAATAATAATCCCACTGTCAGAAACATCCAGCAAGGTTTCTGGAAACCAAATGCAAGGATGCACTTTTAAACCCAATTCATATTTTAATTCAAAGGAGAGAGCCAGCACTTCAACGTAGTCCTACAAGGAGCAAAGCTGTGTGCTTTCTGGGAATCACTAACGGGGTTTGAGGATCTGGGCTCCTGAGGATAGCCCCTTTTCCCCTTTCTGCATCCTTTGTACAGCTCTTAACCACTGCTGCACCCACGCTGTCTTGCAGGCAGCACCCCTCACATCTCCAGAGCAAAGAGACTTGCATTTGACCCAGGGAAACTGATAGGAAAATCCCCATCAGTTCAAGGAAACTTTGAGCTGGACACTTGTAGGTGTCCCACTCCATGCTGAGTGCCCATTTACTTCTGCCCCACCAGCAGCTGGTGCTAGATCCTACTGACACAAACAGTGAAGGTTTTCTTGTCTTCTATTCTAGTTCAAGAGCTGGTGGAACTAAGCTACAGTGTTTCCCTTCAGGGTTTTCCTACCCCAAAATGCATATTCTCTCTAGGAAAGCTCCGTACAGCTAACGAGTTACTCTGAGGGTCCTTTAAATCATGGATCTGTACTGGAATTATTCTAAGCGAATCCTCCACTCCCCCAGCATTTCTAGTGAAATTCTCAATTTATATACATTCTCTAGAGCACATTTTTACAACCCAAAACTAATGTAAAATTTAAAATTAAAGGAATAAAACATGCAAGGGCCCACAACAGACTCATCTCCTCTTCCCCAAAAACTGTGTTGAAACTATACCTTGAACAGCAATTTCCTGAAGCTCCTTCAGTAAATTTTGGTGTCGAAGGATAGAAATGATGCGCTCATCTGCAACAGGGGAGACTTGGTAAGAAGAATAGAAGAACCCAAAACTCCACTTCATTTTTTACCCTTTCCTTCCACTGGCTTGATTTGCTGCCACATCTCTCAGCTGCAGCTGGGAGCACAAAAGCCCTGAGAGGACCAGGCAGCTCCACCATTGCCAGGCACGTGCAGCCCAGTGGGGTGGCCACAAGGAGGGTGGCTGTGGCAGAAGCCAGAGCTGGAGCACAGCAGGGCTGGCTCAGCCCCATCTTGTGTCCCTGCCAGAACTGCTCTCTCTGAAACCCAACATTAGGACGGACAAATCCTCTCCTTGTACCTCCTCTGAGGGTTTCTAGGCATTCCTCGCTGATTGGCAGGGGGTTTGGCTTGGATAAAGTATCAGAGATGACCTCTACAATGCACTTCATCACCTAGAAGGAGACAAAGATACAGATTAAAACCATGATTTTTTTTTTTCATGTATCTATGTGTTAGAAGGTGATGGAGAAGATGATGGCACAGGTCCTCATCCTTGGCACAGGTCCTCATCCTTTTCTGATGGAGCTAGAATCACGTGTTTGTTTTTGCATGTTACCTAGCAGAGGGACAGAAGATACTTCCCAAAACTGAAAAGTGAGGAAACACACATGGCAATGGAAAGGGCTCTTTCAGTGTGAATTACTGTTCACTGCTGCAGGACATCTGCAAGGCTGTGCATGTCAAGAGATTAAAGGGCAATTGGGTGTAGACACAGGGAACTCAAAATCATCCTCTTTTAAAGCAATGTTTCTCAGCCTGCGGCTGACAAAAGGCTCAGTAGGAGGCTCAGTACAGAGCAATAAGTGACTATAGCTCTTAACAAGGTGACCTTGAAGTCCTGCCAGCAGTTTGAGGCCTGAGGTGGGCACTCTAGATAGACTGCAGCCAGGCATGATGGATGAGGAGAAGTAAATCATATTTTCAAACACTATTGAGAAATACTGCTCTCAAGCCCTAAACATGGGCATTCTGGAGAAATAGTCAACCCTGTGCTTGCGTGTTTTAGCCTTCTATTATCGACCATAAGAGCTGTATATGGAGACAGGTTATGTAAAAGTGAAGAAATTCCTAAACCTCCTCCAAATCATTTGCCACAGTCTGGGACAGCTTCCCAGACACCATGAACTCTAGGCCTGCCCTTTGCAGCAGTTCTTTTCTTGACAAAAGGAATGAGAAGAGAGGCTCCATTTTATTGTCCAGTTTTTCACCCTGCACTGTTACAGGCCCAACTCTTTGCCCGTGCAACCACATTACCCCGATCCCACAGCAATTGCCCACTGCTATACAGATGTGGAAGGAGAATCAAAGACAGAGACTGGAAGGCAAGGTGAAGGCACCTTCCTCACACAAGACACACCAACCACACATCAGGTATGTTGTTATAACAGACCCAAATAGTCACACAGATGAAAGCAGATTATTTTTGCTGTCTGGCACTGGTTAGTAGTGCAGGAATCTGTCTGCCCAGTTGAAGCATCATTTTTTATAGAGCAGCCTTTAAAACATGCAGGGCTCAAAAGTACCAGTTGAAAAAGCGAGGGTAAACAAATAAATAAATAAAGATTCAGTTAAGCTTTGGGAGGCAAAAAAAAATCACTGACTGAACTGTTTTCTTCTGATGACTTCCACAGGCAGCCCTAAGAGTCCTGACCTCTCACAAGGTGCCGTTCATGGGAGAGCAGAACACTGCAACTGCAGTGGAAATTAGACACAAGTCAGCAATTCCCACTCATCTACAATGCTGCTCATTCAAGCAATTGGATATATTCATTCATCAGTTGGAATGGGCAGTTTTTCATCCTCTGTAAGGAGAAAATTACTTTTTGCCATTACTGTTGCAGATTACAGTTCTAAAATGTTTAAATATTTCCACTCAGCTATTCGTGCATTTTGAAGGATTGCATGATAGATTAAAAATGTTGCAGGAAAGATCTAACAACATGAAAATAGAGAAGCTACCCTGTTATCATTCTCCTGTACCATCCATAAAGACTGTTATTAGGTAACTTAGACCACCTCTCACACACTAAACAGAACAAAACCCAGGTTCTGCTACATTCCTTCCATCCTTCCACCTTTCCAAGTTCTGGAACTCTTCCTTGCAGGAGTAGGCAATGCCATCTCAGAAGTTAGCACTTACTCTGCATGAGAAATAACAGCTTGGTACAAAGAAACACTCTAGGCAAGCACTTTGAAAAGTCCTAGCTTTTTTTAGGATGTTTTTCCATACACAGAGAAACACAACATCCACCATGGAAATGTGGTCAACTCTATGGAAAAAAGAACTTTGCAACCAGTAAAGAAATGAATAGTGCACTTGTGCCAACTATGCTCTTCCTTACTTTTCATGAAGGTAAATATTGCAAAGTGAGGCATAACAAGGTCATTAAATAACAGCCTAAATCAAGAAATGAAGGAGATCCTCTCCAAATGAATGTAATCAAACCTGTGCAGAAACTCAGGCTGGAATTTTGCCACAGCTCTTATCTAAGTGTAAGCATGCAACTGAATCCTTAAAGCTGGTCAGACTGTCCCTACGTGGAAAAGAAATCGCCAAAGCATCTTGTCCTTACAAGGACATATTTATATACAAGGATATATTTCACCATGTTTGAGAACCACCACACTCATGCCCTTCTGGAATCTAAGCTCACAAGTTCCTACTTGTGGAGAAGGCCACTTCCTAACAGTGGCCTTTGAGCACAACTGGTGGGAATAACACCAGAGACTGTGGTTAGGCTTCTCACAGGAAGCTCTGGGGATTAGAAAAACCTGTTTTGATGCCTAAGAGCAGCCTGTAGATGCTGACTTCTCATGTCATAGTCCTGAGCCATCCAGAAAAGCTGGGGCACAGGATGTGTCTAGAGCAGTGCAGGGAGAGCTGCAGGGCACCATGCTCGGTGCCAGGGAACCAGGAGTCCCTTCATTGACACGCTCTGTGTCACAAAGCAGGGGGAAGGTGGCAGAGCCCTAAGGGCTCCCTCTGTCTCCAGCAACATACAGTCATAGAACAGTTAAGGTTGGAAGGGACCTAGGGGATCACCTAGTCCAACCCCTAGGCACATGCAGGGTCACCTAGAACATGTGGCACAGGGTGGCATCCAAGCAGATTCTGAAGATCTCCAGAGAAGGAGACTCCACAACCTCGCTTGGCAACCTGTTCCAGTGCTCTGACACCATCCCTGTTAAGAAATTTTCCCTTATGTTCCTGTGGAACCTTTGGTGCTTCAAAACATTCAGAAGAGAGGTTTGCTCTGATTTTGCTCTGAACAAGAGCAATGCATAACCCAAAGGGGAAACAGTCTTGAGACAGGTCTAGCCTTGGTGGAAAGGTTTCCACGCAGTTGCACCAGCCTCCACAACAAGGAAAGTTGTGAGCTGAAGGAATTTTCCCATTGGGCGCCCAGTGAGCATCTTCTGGCATAGGCGACTTGAAGGGGCAGGTGCCTTGAGCAAAGTTAGCGACCCAGGCACAGGCCTCCCATGGGCTGAAGCAGCTGCCCAGTGCTGTCCTGGTCACTTACAGCCCAGCACTCAGCAGGGCTAAGCAGCTAAATTTTGTAACAGAGAGCCAGCTCCCCAGGCCCACATATTTCTGACAGAGATGGGGCAGCTTTTCTCAAGGCGCTTACCCTGTAGGTCGTAGTGAGTAAAGATACGGGGTACATTGCAGCCTGTGCTGAGACCAGCATGAATGTTGCCTACTTGGGAAAAGCCTTTTGTGATCAAAACACACAAACGCGCTTATCCAATCTTTCAGTTGCTAAAATCCAGCTGGGAGGGCACACACTTGTGAAGTGCAGCTCGGAGTGTCAGAGATACCCAGAGACGTATTCACAGGAGGGCACAGTAGAAGGCTGAGGAGGTCAGCCGAGTCATGCACTGCAAATATCCTTTGAGACGAGGTGAATGATAGCCGAGAGCAAATTAGCAACCCAACAGTAGGCAGTTGCCTATTTTTTCAGGAACTTGCATGTTTAAATAACACACACCCCCAAAGCCACATATTCCTAGCAAATGCCCATTCCTGAATCACATTTCTTCCTTCTCTCCCAACTGACTCACCTCCTGTGGGAAGCTTAGAAAAGCTGAAAGTAGGAGGACGAGAGAGGATCATACCCAGCCTCCACCCCCAGCCTCCCTATGCTCCAAATCAGCTCGTTCAGCACCTCTGGGCACTCCTGGGGTACTCTCCTCCCGGCCAGGTGCACAGCAGTGGATTCATAAAGGGTAAATCCTGGCAGGGAGGGAGAAGCGGAGGACAGATCCTGCTGTAGGGAAATCTCTTGCAAATCCCCCCCTCAGCTGTCATTTCCTATGGAGTATTTCAGTAGGAGCAGCTAAGAGCCAGGCCAGCTAGGCACACACTAAACAACACATCCCTCAACTTTCCCCTCTGCCCCCCGTGTCCACCACCATCTCCTCCTTACCTTAGTGTCACCTTTATTCATGTCATTCACCACAGGCAGGGAGACGGCTGTAAAACACAGAGAGGGCAAAAAGAAAGATCTTGTTATTTGGCCTCCTCAGGCAGAGAAGCAGCGAATCCCCCTTCCCTGATAAAACAAGAGCAGAGAAAAGGGGGTGTCCAGCCCTGGTGGAAATGGTCTGTGGGGGCAGTACCTGCATGTGGAATGTGTATTGCCTTTAGGGAGAGGGAAAGATTGGGAAGGGAAGGGAAGTGGAGACAAGGAAGGGTGAGGGAAGGGAAAGGAAGGGGAGGCAAGGAAAGGGAAGGGGAGGCGAGGGAAGGCAGGGTAAGGGAAGGGAAGGGCAGGCGAGGCAGGGCGAGGGGCAGGAGGCCGTGGCCAGGCAGTGGCCCGGCGGGCGGCGCGGTGACCTTGCGGCGGGCGCTGTCCGCGGTGCTGGAGCCGCGCCGCTGTCCGCGGTGCTGAAGTGCTGCTGTCCGCGGTGCTGAAGCGGCGCCGCTGTCCGCGGTGCTGGAGCTTCGCGGCCCGCTTGGCGCCGGGCGCCGCCGGAGGGTCGCAGCGCAGCCCCACTTACCCGGCACGGCCAGGAGCAGGAGGGCGAGCAGTCCCGGGCACCGCATGGTGCTGTCGGGCGGAGGGGGCAGACGGTAAATCTGTCCCTGGTGCGGGGGGGTTCAAAAGAGGCGCTGGAGGAGACCAACACTGTGCGTGTCTACACGAGCGTCTTGGCTGAAGCTCCCAGATGGGGTACTGCAGCAAGCCGCTCATTTATATATCCCAGCCCCTCGGAAATGGCGTCAGGAGGAAGCCACCTCCTCCACTCCCCCACCTCCTGCTCCATCCCTGCACACAGCCTGCCCATTAGCATCCGCTACCAACCGGGTGCTGGAGGAGTGGCCAGGCACCAGGAGCCTCTCATTGCGCTGGTTGCAGGGACTGGTCAGGCAATGGGCTCCAATAAATGTCAGAGGGTCAGGATCCACCTGCTCCCTCTTCTCACACCTAACATGGGGTAGGATGGTTGTGGGTGGTGTTTTCAGGAAGGAGATAAGGGTGGGATACACTGGCCTTCTACAAGAACCTTTGTGTATGTGCCATCTGTGTACCCACCAGTAGTCAACAGTGAGAGGCAGTCATCTCATGTACCCTAGCTAACATGACCATCTATAAGTGGCCCAAGGCTTCCTCATCTCCTTTGTTGATCACAGCATGAATAGAGGCAAACATCTTAAGAGTAGATGTTGAAATTTTTGGATAATATTGGATGTTAGATTCTTCAACAGAAGGCAGACATGTCTGTAAAACTCATCAAGAGCCGGAGAACCGGTCACCAGTGACATGTCCTGGATTTTTATGCAAGTCACAAAATCATGCTGGAGTTGGGTTGAATAATGTTTGTAACCTGTCGGGTCTGTTGCTCAGCTCTTGCAGCTTTTCTAGTGAATGTTAACTCTCTGTGGTTCAGAGAGTTCATAATAACCTGTAACATCACACAACATCCCACTGCTAAGTACTTCAAAGTTGAAGTAACCCAAATTACCTGATTATTGGTTTCCATGGGTAAGAGGAAGTAACAAATGTACCATTCTCTTAGTCACAAACATTTCTGTACTCTTCACAGAATGGATAGCTACTTTTTAGATGCAGCATCCATCAGAACAAGCAACTGAAATCTCTTTTGATGGTGACTCTGGTGCTTCTTTAGGACAAGTTCAGTAGAATTTTAATTCTTCTAAGGCGTAACTCTGATATTCATTGCTGCTGCTAAGCTGGGGAGTTTATTATTGCTAAGGCAATTTTCGAGGTCAGAAAGGCCAGGGACTTAGATCAGAAAGCAAAACTCACTCAGAAACAACACACTATCCTTCTCCATCCTAGCTAATTATTATGCCACTGGAGAGTCCTACACCCAAGAAGCAGAGAGGATGGATTTGTTCTAAGATGACAAGACCTTTTCCATGAGACTAAGGAATACAGATTACATTGCAGCTTTTTACCATCTCTTTTCATATAGCCATGCAAATATGCTCCCAAATGTACTCTCAAATGGCCTCTAGTTTCTATCTGCTTTAAACTCATGCCTCAAAAGCCAGATTTGGATTGTAAAATCCACTCATAAAAAAATCAAAGCTCCCTATATCTGTTGTTGCGTTTTCTCTTTAATAGAGGAGAAAAGCTGGAAGTAGATTGATCATCTGAGCAGTGCTTTGTGCATGATATTGATTGATGGTAAAATGTTTATGAGACTGTGAAAAAGGTGTCCATGACAGTTCCTGTTGCATGGGAAACCTGCAGCCTCCAAGAACAATAGATATCTCTCATTTTTGCTTTGGAGATTGTTAGATTTATTTCATTTTATTTTATTTTGTCATATACAATGGCCTTTTATTTTTCCAAGGTATGCCACCTCATTTTAGTCTTTCTGAAATAGTGAACACATAGTCTTAGACTAAAATACTGAACATTATTGAGCTTGTTAATTCCTATGTGTTCCTAACAAAGTAAAGCAGATTGATCTGTTTATCTAGCTATGTTTACCTAGTCAATATTTATGTAGCCTTACATATAAATGTTGATCTTATTAGGACTATAAATTAGCTCAGTTCTAATCTAGCTGCTTCCAGGAAACACTTTTCTTCCCTGGGGCCCCCTTCTTAGAAATGTAGCAGTATATGGAGTGCCCCTGACTCTGTATTTCTTCCCTTTTTTCAAGGCATGGTCTTGCACCCACTCAGTCCATTGAAATAGAGGATCTAAATGTTTTCCAGGTACATCATGCACTCTCCCATTGTAGTAGCATATAGGGGGGAGTGATGAATTTTTCAGTTTTTTTTTTTCCCCCAGGGAAACTGTTAATACAGCAATCAGTACTTCTGCTATCAGAATTTGTTTCATTAGGCACAGCTATATTAGAAACTGTCAAAGTAAAGCAAGTCAGAGAAAGATTTATGTCAAAGAGCAAAAGTGATCAAATAAGACTGTGGAATGTATTCTGCCAGTCAGAGAAAGGCAATTGCAAAAACAGACTTCAAGGTAAGAGGGTTTTTGAGTCTGAAGCAATTTATGTTTTAGAATATGGAGGACAGAAATAGCTTCTTAGTGTCTTACAAAGTGATGATGGGCATTTCCTACCAATCCATTCTTATAAATAAGCTGTTTATGTCTGTAGAGATCTTTTTTTTTTCTTTATAGCTATCCAGTTTCTAATACATGAAGTGTGATGAGAATTACACAGTCACTAGCAGTCACTAGCATAATATGAACAGGAAAATGAATTATTCTGATGGAAATAGGATGACGGTATTGACCCTCCTAGCCAGAAAGCTGACTTAGAAGAAGGGAATGCCTGGATCAATAGCAATAACACCCAGTGCTGCTGCATCACCCATGATCTGAGCTGATCAAACATGAATCAGGGTCAGCCATAGGGACGTGTTAACATCTTCCTATGCTCAAGCTCAGGACATCATGTGGCTCGAGCACACTTCACATTCAACATAAAGAGCCACATTATTTTAGAATTTAGGAAATAAAACCAGTGAATCTGGGGAATAGCTCTGAGCTTACTTTTGGAGATTCCTTCTCTAATGTCTCAGATGAAATTGAATTGACCCTCTACTGTGCATGAAAACACATCATTCTTCTTTTCAGAAGACTTCTTAGATTTTACAGCCCTGGGAACTGAGGCAGAGAAAAAGTGTAATTTTTACAAAGATATCAGGAAAGCTTGAAGCCAAGGCACAGCTACTGCCTACACTCTAACCAAAGAAGGACACTAAACAGCAGCAACATCAACAACAACAAAATCCAGCAACAATTAACTTCTTCCTTAAGAAATCAATTGATAAGGATTGAAATGACTGTAAGCTTGCTGCTGAATTAGTGGTAAGATCTATTAAAACATCCATATCATACCTTTGCTTCTGTCCCACATCTTAATCAGTCTCGCCTCTCCATTCCCCAGTACAAATCATGCTAGTCTGTCAGTAAACAGAAAAGAGCTTCAAAGCTCAGACTGCTCTTGTGAATACCCATCCACACTGTGAAAGGCAGCCCTTTCTTTTCTTTTTCAGGTCAGAAGCAAATTGATGTTGACTTGCTTTGATTTTCTTAGTCTAGACTGTGCTGGCACCAACATGGAATTAATTGGATTTCCTGTTCAAAGGTTTCCTAACACATCATGAAAAAATATAACCTTGTGCCCAGTCCTGAGAGTGGCTACTGCTCTGCCTGTCCATGTCCATTCTTACCTGATACGCTCTTCTCATGAGCAGGTGGACTATGTTCATTATTGGGAGACGAGAGTTCTCTGTAGCAGTCTCAGAATAGACTGCCAATAGCATGGAACCCAAGGTTTTTATTATTATTTTTATTTCTTAAATGGTATTTAATCACCAACCTGGCAAATGGTATATGCTTCCAAATACCTTGGTCTGTTCACCTAGGACATATGGAAGCCAAGCTTATTCCTGTGAGCCCACTGATTAGTAAATGGTGATGAGTGACACTCATCAGTGTGGACTTCTGCACAGCAGCCATAGAATGCGGTAGAAAAGACACTTTCCGTTTTCAGTCCTTTAGGACTGTAAAACACATAAACACTTTCCACTCTAGTTGCTTCCTTTGAACACCTTGGCTTACATCAGAAGGATTGCACTTGAAGAGATCAAAAGAAGGCTCAATACAGTCTGTATCTCTGCCACTGTTGCAGAAAAGAAAAAAAGAAAAAAAAAAGAGAGGGATGAAGCGAGCATCTGCTTCCTTTGCTCTCTCTGCTCCCTCCTTCCCTAAAAGGTGTGAGCCAGAGGAGCATGGAGTTGAACTGACTGCATGATCCTAAGGCCTCTCTGGGCATTGCTGTCCCCTGAGAATATCCTTCTGTGAACAGTGGTAATACAACATCACTAGAACTACTTGCTTAGGGATGTGGCACACAAGGACACAGCAGCTTCTGTTCTGGGCCGGAGCAGGGATCGAGGATCCTTCCCGAGACTCCAGGAGCCCAACAGGGTCAGAGTCAGGGAGGGATAAGGGTAGGAACAAGGACAGTGGCAGTGGCAGGGCCAGGGGCTGGGGCTCAGATAGAGTCAGGGGTAACAGCAGGAGCTGGGCCTCTCCCAAGACGGGGCCTTAGTTCTGAAGTTTAATAGAACTCCAAATTGTTTTAGTGTTAATTATAAGTATTTATTTTAGTTGTCTCTCTGAATAGAGCCTCTCTTTGGGCTTACTACTATTTCAGCCTAAGGAATTCTTATGACCCTAAGTACCACAACTCCCTTAAGTACTATGTGAAAATATTTCATCCTTTCTTTTAAAATTGCCTCCTACCCAATTGCAATGAGCTGGGAAGAACAAAATTCCTGCATACTTTTCTTTAGACCAGTCAGGTTTTTCTAGATATTTGCAGCTTTCCATTAATCCTCTCTTTTCCAAGCAGTGCCAATCATTTTGTTCCTTATCTGCTTCCTTTGTACATTTTGGTATGCCCTGACAATACTACTTTGAGCTCCCTGTCTTCTAAAATAATTACTATGTGATGTGACCAGTACTTCACATGATACTCCTGAGGGAGTATCAGCATTGGCTTTTAGTAAAAACATTAACATATTTTGTGTTATTCTTTAATCTCTTCCCTTGTGCAATCTAATATATTGCTTGCTTAGCTAACAGCAGAGATCTCCATGA